AATCGATGGAAATTTTGTTGTACAGAAACCGGCCATGGCAAAATTCCATCGTAGCAGAAGACCAGGCAGGCTTTTGGCCAGGAAGGTGTATTATTGATTTTTATTTCACTGCTGCATTGGATAACAAAACGCACTGCAATGGGTGGACGGCTCTATCTCGAATTTATTGATTTAAGTGTTGCTTTCAATTCAATAAACAGAAATCTTTTATGGGAGGAATTCTTGAAGATTTCTTTGATAGGAGACTCCTTATAAAGATATTTTATATGGACACAAATTTTTATTTTATGAGTTAAACTGTAATGTTAGTATTTTATAGTTTGAACCTTTTGCAAGTTGAGTATTTGGTTTTGTTCTGGTTTTTAGTCGGTGTTTATTGTATCTGAATTTGAAATGCTCCAAAGACTTATTCAATAAAGCAATTAATGAATAAACTCAATAAAATACTACCTAAGGGGTTTTCCAGACAGAGCAAACATTCCTCTATGCTCACTCTAATTTGGTCCACACTCTCACTAGGAAAAAAAATTAATACGTTTTTTAAGAAAGAAATTTTCTTTCATGTTTCTTTTTTTGTGTGATTGCTAAATTGAAAGATTCCAACCACTGAAAAGTAAGAATTAATGATCAGCAAAATTAGGCGGATGGTGGATGTGTAAAGTAAAGTTATGCTGGTGTAAATCTGCTGAGCATTAAAGCGTAGCGGGGCATTGTGCTTTCTAGTAGTGCACTCTGTACACAATCAGTTGCACAAAGCAGTGGCAGAAGTGCATCCAAGAGAGCACTTTTGCCTTAGTGCTAGTGTACCTACTGCATGTGCATCATTGCACAAAAGAATTTTGGTCAATAAATAAACCAGCTTTTGTGATGTGCCAATTGAAAAGTAGGCATGTGGTTTTGTTACAGTTGTGGCTTTAAAAATTTGTAATATTACTCGCCATCTAGGTAGTAAACATGGCAATAATCACATGGTTATTAGTTTTGACAGGTCTCAAAGTCAACCTGAGGAATTTATTAGCTTTAGAATTTTGAAAAAGAAAACAGGAAAATTAAAGTTTTAAGATAGCTAATACAAAAAAATTTTTAAATTTTTTTTGTGCCATCTACTGCTGCAATGTAGAGTTTTGTAAAATGGCGCCCGTTTTGGCCCGCTTGCTGTTGCATGGCTGGTGTTACAGCCATTGCAAGTACAGGCCAGGGTTCTTGGTTTAAGAGACACTGTAGTGGGAGGAGGATTACAATTAGAGTCACTTCTTCAGTCACAGGTATGAAGTAGTAAACTGTATCCAATGAAAACTCAAAATTAATGTATTCTCGAAGGCTTTCACGGCCGGGATCTGATGGCTGTTGTGGGTTTTTTGGGCTCTTCAAACCTTCAGACCACGGCCTTCAGAACACAGCCAAAGAGCCCGAAAAACCCACAGCAACCATCAAAATTAATGGATTGTAACAGAGTGGTATCGTATAAAGCCGAGGTTCTATTTGATGTTGGTTATATTTCTGCACTGGGAGGGGAAAGGTAGGCATGTGGTTTTGTTACAGTTGTGGCTTTAAAAATTTGTAATATTACTCACCATCTAGGTAGTAAACATGGCAATAATCACATGTTATTAGCTTTAAAATTTTGAAAAAGAAAACAGGAAAATGAAAGTTTTAATATAGCTAATACAATTTTTTTAAAAATATATATATTGTGGCATCTACTGCTGCAATGTAGAGTTTCGTAAAATGGCGACCGTTTTGGCGCGCTTGCTGTTGCATGGCTGGTGTCATAGCCACTGCAAGTACAGAAAGGGTTCTTGATTTAAGAGGCACTGTAAAATTTTGAAAAAGAAAACAGGAAAATGAAAGTTTTAATATAGCTAATACAATTTTTTTAAAAATATATATATTGTGGCATCTACTGCTGCAATGTAGAGTTTCGTAAAATGGCGACCGTTTTGGCGCGCTTGCTGTTGCATGGCTGGTGTCATAGCCACTGCAAGTACAGAAAGGGTTCTTGATTTAAGAGGCACTGTAGTGGGAGGAGGGTTACATTTAGAGTTACTTCTTCGGTCACAGGTATGAAGTAGTAAACTGTATCCAATGAAAACTCAAAATCAATGTATTCTCGAAGGCTTTCACGGCCGGGATCTGATGGCTGTTGTGGGTTTTTTGGGCTCTTCAAACCTTCAGACCACGGCCTTCAGAACACAGCCAAAGAGCCCGAAAAACCCACAGCAACCATCAAAATTAATGGATTGTAACAGAGTGGTATCGTATAAAGCCGAGGTTCTATTTGATGTTGGTTATATTTCTGCACTGGGAGGGAAGGAGCCAGTTTAAAATTTTATGACCCACGCCCCAATGGGTGAGTGTGTTGAGTTTCCGGATCTGGTCCCAAAGCGTCACATATATTTGTGTAAGTAAGAGCAGAGAGGTCACTTGGCAGTTCGTCCTGTGACATCAAATAATAAATCTGTAGTGGCTTGGCATACCCACTGTGATGAAGTGGGAAGAGTGGTAGATTAGAGCTCAGGAGTCCTGCGATCTAATCCCCTTGACACTGTGGAAGCATGCTGGGGAGGTGTGGAATTGGTAAAGGTAAAGGTTCCCCTTGACAATTTGTCCAGGCGTGTCGGACTCTAGGGGGCAGTGCTCATCTCCGTTTCCAACCCATAGAGCTAGCGTTTTGTCCGCAGACAATCCTCCGTGGTCACGTGGCCAGCACAACTAGACATGGAACGTCGTTTACCTTCTCACCGAGGTGGTATCTATTTATCTATTCGCATTTTTGCATTTTGCACGCTTTCGAACTGCTAGATTGGCAGGAGCTGCGAGAAGCGCCGGGGGCTCACTCCGTTGCGTGGATTCGATCTCACGACTGCAGGTTTTCTGAACTTACAGCACAGAGGCTTCAGCAGTTTAACCCACAGCACCACCACGTCCCTTTTTGTGGAATTGGTAACCACTGCTTAAATATCTCACTTACCTTGAACGACAACAAAGATAGTTGGTAGACTTTAAAAGAGAATGCAAATCTGATTTGTTCCTGCTCTTTTTCTTTCTCATGTTTTATAACTATAGTTAGCTTTGAGCTTCCTTGAAAGCTCTATTATCTTCTTGAGTAAATATATTATTAAAAGGGGAAAAAAGGAAAATGAAGATATAGACCAAAGCAGATGGAGAAGAAAATAAAATAGTCCATGAGACATAGGACAGAATAACTAAAATGAAGCTAGTGGAGCTATTCATTTAGCATGTCACGACTCTTCTACTCATGCTGTAGATATAGTCAGTGGCCTTTTGACAATCATAACAAAGCTCCTACCCAACAATTTCTTCCAGTTCTTGATGAGGATTTTCGCCAGAGCTACCACTTCCTCTTCTAAGCAGTGCTTACGGATTGCATTCACAGCCACGCCAATTCTTGTGCTCTTGAGAGAAGGAAAAAAGTATTTTTAATGATTAGTTATTTGTTTGATTTATGTACCACCAACCCATTCGGGCAAGGCGCTATTTTGAGTGGTTCACAACATAATAAGATGAAACGAACATCTAACAATAAATGTATACATGGACAGTGAAAGGAGTAAAAGCAGTCCAAGAAAAAATGGGTCCAAAACAGCCATAACAGCTCAGTAACAGCTTGAGAGAGAAAACCAGAACATGTTCTGCATGCAGAAGGTTGAATAATCAGTCAGTAATGGCTTGGATCAGTGGTTCTTAACCTTTGTTACTCGGATGTTTTTGAACTGCAACTCCCAGAAACCCCAGCCAGCACAGTTGGTGGTGAAGGCTTCTGGGAGTTGCAGTCCAAAACTCCTGAGTAACCCAAGGTTAAGAACCAGTGGCTTGCATGATGGTGAATAAACTGAAACGTAATCTGGACAAGGCAGAGGTGCTCCCAGTCAGTTGAAAGATAGAGCAAGAAACAGAGATGTATTTTGTCCTGGATGGGGTTGCACCCCCCCTGAAAACACAGGTGTGCATCTTGGGGTTACTCCTGGATTCGTTTGGGAGCTTGGATGCTCAGATTTCAGCAGTAACCAGGGGTACGTTTGTACAATTAAATTTAGTGTGCCAACCGCACCCTTTCCTACAGAGCTCTGATCTGGCCACTGTGAAACATGCCTTAATTATATCCGGGCTGGATTACTGTACGGTGGTGCCTCACTTAGTGAGTGCACCGTATAGCGATGTTTCCGTATAGCGATCCCTTTTTCGGGATCACTATACGGAAACATACCCGATCTTCGCAATGGGGAAAACCCGCATTGCGAAGATCGGGTATTGCGGCGGCCATTTTGGAGCCGCCGAACATCTGTTCGGCGGGTCCAACATGGCCGCCGGAAGCCTGGAAATGGCTGCCGGCAGCCGTTTTCACGCCCTGCCCTCGCTTAGCGAGGGCGCGAAAATGGCTGCCGGCAAGGGGAATCCTCGCTGAACGGGTAAGTAAGCAAGGTATTGGAACGCATTAAACTAACTTTAATGTGTTTCAATACCTTTCCCTACCCGTTTAGCGACGATTCCGCATAGCGAGGGTTAATCCGGGGCACCACTGTAACGTGTTCTACATGGGGCTGTCATTGAAAGTGTTTGGAAACTTCAGCAGGTTCAAAACACTGCAGTCAGACCATTAACTTGGGATAGTTACATAACCTTTCTGTTAAAGCAGCTCCGTGCCAATATGCTTGTGGGCACAGCTCAAAGCGCTGGTTTTAAAGCTCTAAACAGCTTGGTTCTAAACTCTCCCAAGAATTATGTCTCCCTTTATGAGACTGCCCGGGTGTTAATATCATCAGGAGAGGCTTTCCCCTCAGTCCCACCACCTTCACATGTGTGCTTGGTGAGGACACAGGAGAGGGCCTTCTCTGTGGCTGCTCCCAGACTCTGGAACTCCCTCCCACAGAAGGCCAGGCTGGCCCCATCTTTACTATCCTTCCACAAGCAGATGACCTTTTTCTTCAGTCAGACTTTCTCTTAGAGAATGACTGTATGAGATGAATTTTTAAATGGATTGTTGTGCCTCGTTGCTTTGAAACTGTTTTCGGTGATTTTGTTTACCATTTTTTTTAGTATGGCATTTGTTCGATTCTTTCTCAATATTTGTACATGTATCATTTCTAGCTTTTAAATATTCTTTTAATGATGGAAGCCACCTTGGATCCTTTTTCAGGAGAAAGGCAGGTAAAAATATTTAAAATACAGTAAAATCAGTCAGTCAGTCAATCAATCAATAGATCACATCCCTCATATTTCTACTTCAGAGCTTTGGAAAGCTGATTTTTGGACACCATTTCTCCTGTCAACATGACTGAAGGAGAAGTAACTTTCTCAATATCTTATTTGAGAAAGCCTGCAAGTGTTACTTGCACTTCTCAGAATTCCACATGGGTCGCAACATACAGTCACAGGGTTGTTTGATAAGATAGTACTGCTTTTGACAACATAATTTTGAAGTTCTACTTGTCTTCAGTATATTTTGATACTGTCTTGGTAACTGAAAGGATGGAGGGCTATAAAATGATTTTGTAATGTTCTATTTCGTGTTTCATTGCAACGAAATGCAAGAAATAAATAATTCCTAAATTACCTCAACATGCCTTCTTCATTTTTGACAGTGCCTTACCTGAAGAAGCTGGATGGTCATTTCGAAGCTGTTAAGTTTCTTCAGCAGATCCAGCGCTCCTTCCTAGAAACAGGGAGAAAAGAAAAGAAGAGAAAAAAAAGACCTCACAGGTTAAACTAACAACTATAAAACTGGAGGACATTGTAGGAGGGAAGGATTAAAGCCCTGGGCTGAGGATGGGCCTTCAAAGCTTTCCCAGATAGACATGTCCTTTGATTTTGTGTTTTGTAGCTTTGCACAATCTCTCCTCATTCTAAAATAAGAAAACCTTCTACAGCCCTTCTATATAGCTATAAATGGAAGAACTTCCTGAAGTTTGCAGAGTCCAGAAACATGGAGACCTCCCCTGTCTCGCTGTCTACCCTTCTCCAGTATCTACGTTACCTTTTTGAATATGGCCTCACTCTTTCGACCCTCAAGGTCTATGTTGCAGCTATTGTATCCTTTCAGCCTAGAAACTCTGAAGCTGCATGACTATTCTCTCATCCTACACTCAAATCTTTCCTAAAGGCTTCATTAACATCAGGCCACTCACTAAACTTCCAACTCCTCAGTGGTCCCTTCATGTTGTCTTACATTCACTTATTCACCCACCATTTGAACCAATGGCTACATCTGATCTTCAGCTACTCTCCTTTAAAGCACTGTTTTTGGTGGCCATTACATCGGCACGTAGAGCAAGTGAATTGGCAGCCCTTCAATCTGATCAGCCATACTTACAATTTTTCAAAGACAAAGTGCTTTTACACCCAGACATATCTTTTCTGCCTAAGGTTGTTACTGAGTTTCATGTCAATCAACCTTTGATTTTGCCTACTCTGTTTCCTGATCCAAAATCAGACACTGAACGCATGCTCCACACCCTAGATGTGAGGAGAGCGCTATCTTTTTATATATCCCATATGAAGGGCTTTTGTAAAACCCAAAGACTATTCCTGTGTTTCTATGGACAGAAGAAAGGTTCTCCAGCTTCATCTTTGACCCTCTCCAGATGGCTTGTCTCCGCCATTTCACTGGCATATGAGCTACAGCAGAAGGGCCTCCAAGCTCATTCAACCAGAGCCGTGGCTACATCTACAGCCCTATTATGTGGCGTTGACATACCTGACATCTGTAGGACAGCCACATGGTCTAATGTGTCAACCTTCATAACTCACTACAGATTAGACCTCAGGGCTAAGAGAGTGACAGGTTTCGGGAGAGCAGTGTTGACATCCATTCTTCAGTGATGACCCTCCTTCCGGTAAGTGAGCATGCTAGTCACCCTTTTGTGTGCATTCACAGAGGCCACAATGAAGAAAGACAGGTTACTTACCTGTAACCATGGTTCTTCAAGTGGACCTCTGTGAATTCACACATGTCGCCCAGCCTCCCCACTATCCATCACTGACTAAGTCTAGTAGAAGCTCAGGCTACTGTGGTGGATAAAATGGAACTGAGGGTTGAGGCGGGCGGGACATGCACTATAGGGGCAACCTAAACTTTGTTACTTTTCTCTTAAAAGCTGTAGAAGATTCCGAGAGGTCCAGCGCAGGCCCTTTAACTTAACCCTTTTGTGTGCATTCACAGAGGCCACAATGAAGAATATATATATCTCAGTTCAATTGTCTAGCCCAATAGAGATTACAGCCAAGAAATCAGAAGACTGAGCCTTGGAAGGGCAGCAATTCAAGCAATTACAAATGACAATCAAGTGTAATATCAATATTACTGTATTCCCAATCACTATATGCAGATGTGAAAACTGGACAGTGAAGGTGGCTGTCAAGAAAAATAATGGAATCATCTGAAATACGGTGCTGGTGGAGACTGGACTGCCAGAAACACAAGTCTGAACTATCTCTGGAGGCCAAAATGAGTGCTACTGGACAGCTCAGTGGTTTAGGTTAGATTAGATTAGGCATCCTTCAGTCTCGAGAGACTATGGTATTGTGCTCTGCATGGAGGACTTGGAACAGCATCTAGTGTGGCTGAGGAGGCCGATTCGAGAGTGACCATCCCTTCCACACTGAAGACAGATACAATCTGTCTCCTGTCCAGCTCCCTGATTTTGCTGGTTTCGGGACTGCCTCTTTGCCTCGGCCTGCTGGACAAGGGTCTCTTCAAATTGGGAGAGGCCGTGATGCAATGCCTGCCTCCAGGCTGACTGCTCAGAGGTCAGGGTTTGCCACAGGGTTTCCCATCTGTTGAGGTCCATTCCTAAGGTTTAAGTATCCAACTGCAGAGCCACAGGCCGGGAGTCTCTACTATGCCTCATGCAAGTAGAGCCAGCCTATGTGACCTTGGGCAAGCTGAAGAGTCCCAGGGCACCACCGGAAGAAAAAAAATGGTAAACCTGAATATTCTCTACCTAGAAAACCCTGAAAAGGATTGCTGTAAGTCAGAATTGATGGCATGATTAGGATACGTTGCTTGATTACAAACAATGTTGCCCACTTGCAATTGCTGCAGGAATGTCACAAAACGGAACGTCCATAGCAAATTAGCATTTGTTATGGTGGTCAAAAGAGGCGCACAGACAAGCAAGCTGCAGTGTATGGAAGGGAAGAGCCAGCCAGAGAGGGCTCCCAGATGGCTCTCCGTTTCAAACAACATCAGCTGCTCATCTTAACGGCCCAGACAGCTAGCTAATGTGTAATCTCTAAGTGGCATGCAATCTTGGAAAATATCTTGGCATTGAGGGCATTTTAACGGGCGGTGGACAAAGGAAGCTTTTTCAGTTTCATGGTTGGCTCAAGACAACCATTTCACCTTGCAATCACCTTGTTTCAAAGAATAGAATTTGACTGCATGGCGGTTCAGACATTGACAACTTCCATCTGCTCCCTTCACCATGTTTCCCCATAATTTCTTTTGTCTCGACAGAAAAATGGTAAGGAGAAAAGTTTGTTTTTCTTTTATTTTTACTGTTAGTGCTCAGAAATACCAGGAATCTAGAAATGGTGTCTCTCCCCTGGGATAATGTCACACGATATGAAAACACAGCAGAATTCCCTGGCTTCTGATATCCTCCATCAGTTGCCATCATCCCATAAACAACTCATCTCTAAGATGATGTAAAACATCTGGACGTAAGTTGTGGGGGAGGCTTTGAGGCAAAGGGGTTATACCTCTCAATACCTAGAAAGGTAGATATTACTTTTCTCAGTCCCAGTTACAGCTCAGTGTGAGGATTGGGGGGGTTGGACCAGAAAGTCAGTACCTATGAACCAACCCTTATTCTTTCCTGAAACTATCCATATACTTTTACTGTACCACCTCAAACAGTTCTTCCTAGGACCTTATTATATTGTTTGGACTTCAACTCCGAGAAGCTACAGATAGCATAGCAATGGGAACATACTCATGTTTGGTAACTAAAATGGTTACTTTTTTTTAACAAAAATGAGGATATTACAACTTTTTGGACTACAATATGAGCTCAGCCTACATCACTAAAATAATTATACTACATATTGTACAGTGGTGCCTCTCTAGACAATGATAATCCGTTCCACTGAAATTGCTGTTTAGCGAAATCATTGTCTAGCGAAAAGCATTTCCCCATTGGAATGCATTGAAACCTGTTTAATGCGGTCCAATAGGGAAGAATTGTCATCTAGTGAACCGCCGATCAGCTGTTTAAATCGCTGTCTTGTGAAGCTTAGGTCCCGAAACACCTGTTTTGCGAGCGCGGAGGGAGGTGTCAAAATTGTCGTCTAGCAAAAATCGGTTTGCAAATCAGGGACCAAACATTGTCCAGCGAAATTCCCCCATAGGAATCACTGTTTTGCGAATCGCTATAGCGATTGCGAAAAGTCAATGTCTAGCGAAAAAAACTATCATGCAGGGTAATTGTCTAGCAAGGCACCACTGTATAGTTCTCTTTGTATCATTTAGTGCATGGTGGAGGGCATCTCTCTGTATCATTTAGTGCATGGTGGAGGGCATTTCCCTCTACTTTGTTATATGGAGAGGAGGCAGAAAAGAAGACTTCCAGAGCTTGGAATGGCTTCCTTTTGAACAATAATTCCTGGACTATAGCTAGCATGAGAAAATATTGTTGCTTGGAAAGCGAATGTTTCCAATGTAAATTACTTGTGCCTTTGTTTTCATAAATAAGGAGTTAATTGTAATTTTTAAATTATATCAGTTATTTTTACGCTTTGGGCATGAGGTGCAAGAGGAACCTGAAGGGTTCAGCCATGGCCCACTGATGGCTCTTGGCAGGTGCATGATAATTTTAACTCTGGCCCTATCAGGTCTTACCAGAAATGCATCTGGAAAACTGCTTTAGCATATGTTAATAAAATAGGCAGATATGTCAAAAGTTACTTTTGAGGTGCACTGTCCTAAAAATACTCTCAGCCAATGGTACTTTGGGTGTTTTACAACTTCCAGAGATCTGGATGAAGGTTACTGGCTGCACAGTGAGTGCCTACTCATGTTTGGAAAACCCTGAATAATGATAGGAGCTTCCCCTTGCTTTATTTTATACATTGACCTTAAGACAGTAGAATAAACTTTGGGAATGGTAGAGAGAGTGGAGTTATTTATAATTTTTGAAGAGGTAGACTTGATCTGTGCTGTACAGCTCTAGCCGCATTGACAGGAATGAAAGGGGGCAGAAATTCAGAATGTAGAAACAAGTTAAATAAATCTGCAAAACACAGTCAAACTGCTCCAAATACAGCCACAGAAAAGCAGAACAAATGCAGGAGTGGACCCCTCTGTAACCTGCCAGGTTTACCAAGGACTATCCCAGTTTTTATCATTCACGGCTGCAGAGCTGACATCCCATTGGATGTGGTTGATTCCAATGAAAATCATCACAAGAAAATTGGAGATATTAAAGGAACATTTTGTGCAAAGATGGACATGATAAAGGACAAAATGGTAGGGACCTAACAGAAGCAGAAGGCATCAAGAAGAGGTGGCAAGAACCCACAGAAGAATTATACCAGAAAGATGTGGCTGTCCTGGACAACCCAGATAGTGTGGCTGCTGGCCTTGAGCCAGACATCCTGGAGAGTGAAGTCAAGTGGGCCTTAGAAAGCCTGGCTAACAACAAGGCCAGTCGAGGTGATGGCATATCAATTGAACTATTTAAACTCTTAAAAGATAATGCTGTTAAGGTGCTACACACAATATGCCAGCAAGTTTGGAAAACTCAGCAGTGGCCAGAGGATTGGAAAAGATTAGTCTACATCCCAATCCCAAAGAAGGGCAGTGCCAAAGAATGCTCCAACTACTGTACAATTGCACTCATTTCACACGATAGCAAGGTTATGCTTAAAATCCTCCAAGGTAGGCTTCAGCAGTATGTGGACCGAGAACTCCCAGAAGTACAAGCTGGATTCCGAAGAGGCAGAGGAACTCAAGACCAAATTGCTAGCATGCGCTGGATTATGGAGAAAGCCAGAGAATTCCAGAAAAACATCTACTTCTGCTTCATTGACTACACAAAAGCCTTTGACTGTGTGGACTGCAACAAAGTATGGCAACTCCTTAAAGAAATGGGAGTGCCTCACCACCTTATCTATCTCCTGAAAAATTTATATGGGGGAGAGAAAGCAACAGTTAGAACTGGATATGGAGCAACTGATTGGATCAAAATTGAGAAAGGAATACAACATGACTGTATATTGTCTCCCTGCTTATTTAC